TCAGTGCTGTCAGAGTTTCCTGCATGGGGTGGGAGATGTTGTCCAACAGGGATGACAGCTTAGCCACCATTCTCCTGTCACTCACCACCTCCACTGGGTCCAGAGGGCATCCTAGAACAGAGCTGGCCCTTCTGATCAGCCTGTTCAGTCTCTTCCTGTCCCCAGCAGAGATGCTGCCACCCCAGCAGACCAAACCGTAAAAGATAGCTGAGGCCACCACAGAGTCATAGAAGGTCTTCAGGAGTGGGCCCTCCACTCCAAACGACCTGAGTCTCCACAGCAGGTACAGCCTGCTCTGCCCTTTTCTGTAGAGGGCTTCTGAATTATGAGTCCATGTGAGGAGCCTTTGTAAAATGTAATGATTTGCAAATCTCAGGAACCAATATTCACAATAGAACATAGGATAAATGTCTCAAATGTTTATATTGAGACATTTTTCTGTTTCATGAAAACAAATTTAATGACAGCAACACATCTCAAAAAAGTTGCAATGGGGGCAACAAAAGACAGGAAAAATAAGTGGTGGTAAAAAGAAGCTGCTGGAGGAACATTTGGCAACTAATTAGGTTAACTGGCAATGGGTCAGTAACATGACTGAGTATAAAATATAGAGAGACTGTTTTTCAGAAGTGAAAATAGACGATGGTCAAGGGTTTTGACAAATCAAAACTTGAAATTCTTTTTGGAAAACATGGATACCATGTCCTCTGGACTAAAGAGCAGAGGAAACATTCGGCTTCTTATCAGCTCTGTATCCTAAAGCCTGCATCTCTGACAGTATGGGGGTGTTTGTGGAACTGGCAGCTTGCACATCTGGAAAGGCACCATCAATTCTGAAAGATATTTTAGAGCAACATACGCAGTCTTCTTCAGGGAAGGCCTTGCATATTTCAGCAAAATAATGTTAAACTCTGTACTGTACCTATTCAAACAGAACAGCTTCCTTGTAGAAAAGTCCAACTACATGTGTATTTTTTAAAGATGTCGTGTTTTCAATTTGCTACACTGAATAAAATGTGAAAAAATTACATTTTACACACTGTCCCAACCATTTCAATATTTGTTTGACTCAAAATGTCTCCAGTATTTTTCAAAACAAAAAAGAAAAAAAGTGTTTCAAATGTCTGTATGGCTTCTGTCTCTAATTAATCATCTCAAGACCTCTTTTACTTATCAGGTTGCCCTCAGAAGGTAACCAAACCTTCTATTAGTAACCACCAATTAAAACATTTGGACAGTTATCAAGACGGCTCCTCGTTCTGGGGCTTATTTTACTGCAGCAACTTTGATGTTAAAGACCTACTGAAAACTAAGTGATTTTAGATTATTACTTTTACTTAAGTACAGGACCTGATTATTTAAAACAGTGAACCAAATGCTTTCTTGGTGCTTATACTCAAAATTAGACAGGATTTTATTTACGGTTTGTAAATGGTTTATTGAGGAGTAAGATATCAAGAATCTCCTTTGGCTGACACAGAATATCGCAGGCTCTTTCAGTGCTGGCTCTTTCCTGTGGGGAAACACACACTGATATTTGCAGTTTAAAAAAATGGTGACGAAACGTATTACTTACCTAACTTATGAGGGAACAACCAACTCATGAAGACTTTTTTTTTGATACTGAAGGACCTAGCTCTTTTTTTTTTTCTTTAAAGGACATTTGCTGGCTTCAGCAGTTATGGAGTGATGTAACGCCATCAGGAAATTTCCCCCATAAGCCACGTAGAAACACATCCAATCTCACGATGTGTATTTTAGGGTCGCGAGCAGCGAGGCCCTCGGGGTCCAAAATGGGGGTTTTGAAACGGGATGATGAGAGAGGAAACTGGCGCTAAGAAGGGGGTGTGAAGGGATTACTGGGTAGGTGCAGATCTGCCCAACTGAAATAGCCTGGTTTTATAGGTGAATGGTCATAAATAAAGGACATGCAGACCAATTTATTGGTATTATTTCAGGGGACCACAGAGTTAGTCTGGTTTGTGTTTTGTTGTGATTAGGAGAAAAGATGGTGATAGGGTAATGAGTTTGATGAGTGATAGGGTAAAGATGGTAATGACTGAATGAAAGAACGAGAGTCTCAAATGCCATGTGGCGGAATAGTGGGTGGGTTTGGTAAGGGTGCAGACGTGGAAGCTTACTGTATATTTGGGGGCCTTGGGTTTAATAGAAGGTAAAGAGAAGAAGCGTGGTAAGATAAGTTGGCATGCTGTCCTGTTTATCGGAGGGATGTAAGGCACAGGGCAAAGACTCAGCCAGGAAGGAATGAGCAGAGTCATCGGGCTTCTGTAACATGACGCTCCGTCTTGATTGCCTGTAGCAGCTGGGCAGCCACCGTATCTGTGCGAGCGTGTGCGTGTCTTCACATGTGTGTGAATGCAGAATTTTATGTTCGAGTGAAGTGGTTCGAGCAAGTATAACTGCACGTTCACGTCTTTGATCAGTGCATCAGTCTGTTTATGCCATCATGTTGACTTATGTATGTGAACTCAAGAACCTTTTTCTTTGTACAGTCTTCGTTGCCTGTTTTGGTGATTTGGTGTTATGTAATTCCTTCTTGTGCAGCCTTATTTAAGAAAATCCAAACTTTTGGTACTTGACTTGTAGACAGTGTGTTTCTTAGATTGTATTAATTATTCTTTTCAGTTTAAGGCTCCAGTTATGCTTTGTTTTCCTCCTTGAAATTAGCATATAACTGTATATTAATATTGTTGTTCTTGGGCAAATTCCTAAGGGGAAATGTTTATTTATTCTGTAGGATGCTGATGTTATTCGTCTTATTCATTAGTCATATAGAGACATATATTTGATTTAATAAATGATCATGTCCAGCACAGTGGGAGCTAACTTTAGCTCCTGCAGACAAAAGTGATCTCCTCTGGCTGCTAAACACATCAAAGGATGTAAGAAAATGCTGCTTGGACCTGATGTGAAGCGCCTGCTAAGGTAATAAGTAATCCGATGTAGACAACTAATGTCACGGTATCTTTAGAGTGGTGGGAAAGTCCAGGACCCTGTCCTAAGTCTGTCTAATCATTTTGCTACCATATGGTCACTTTTAACTGCTTGTGGTGCAGTGGTGGGCGAGGAGGGTGAGGTGAGGGGGCAGTGCTGGGCTGAAGATGTAAAGCAGAAGGTAGAAGGCAGAAATGAGAGATGGTGAGGTGTTTGGACACACATTAGAGCAACTAAGACCTATAATTAATTCTTTGTATTTAGGACATATGTAGAGAAATGCAGGGTGTGTTTACATTTGGCTTCAGATCATCATAGGTTTATGTGCTTTTGCAAAGGTCCAGCCATTTCCTATCTTTGTCAGTAAAATGTACACAGCCTAGATATACCTTTGCTAGTTCTGGGTTGAATCCTCTTTTTGCCTTCAGAACCACCTCAGTTCTTTATGCCATGGATCCAAAGGCATGCTGAAAACCTTTCTCAGTGATTGTGGTCCAAATTGAGGCAACCACATCACACAGTTGTTGCAGATTTGTTGGCTACTCATGCATGAATGAATCTCCTGTTTCACCATATCCCAAAGGTGCTCTGTTGGATTGAGATCTAGAGACTGAGGACGCTTTTTAGAACTCATTGTCATGTTCAAGAAACTAGTTTGAAATGATTTGAGCTCTGTGACATGGCACACTCTCCTGCTGTAAGTAGGCATCAGAGGGTGGGCAAACAGCTGGGGCAACTGTGGCTAGGGCTCAGGTGGAAGAGTTGTTTATCTACCAATTAGAAGGTTGGTGGATTGATCCCCTCTGATCCCTGAGTTGCATCCATTGGCTTGTGAGTGAGTGAATGTTAGGTAAAAGTGCTTAGGTGTAGATAAAAGCACTGTGTACTAATGGGTGAATGAGGCACGTAATACAAAACTCCTTGAGGTCTTATTCTGAGAAGAAAGCTGCTATATAAGTACCAGTCCATCCATTTACTGTTGCTGTAAAAGATTGGACTTAGACAGCAACAATACTTTAAACAATGCTTTCCTGCCATTGAAGGGCCCAAAGTGGACCAAGAAAATATCCCCCACACTATTACACCACCACCACCACCAGCCTGAATCATTGATACAAGCCAGGATGGATCCATGCTTTCATGTCCATTGCAGCACAAATCAAGAATGCTTAGACCAGGCATCATATTTCCAGTCTTTTATTATGCAGTTTTTTTGTGTGTGAATTATAGCCTTAAGTTTTCTGTTCTTAGCTGACAGGAGTGCCACCACTGTAGCCCATCTGCTTGAAGGTTTGATATGCTATGTGTTTGGAGGTGGTGTTCTGCATGCCTTGGTTATAATGAGTTATTTGAGTTACATTTGGCACTGAGTGTATCAGCAAATGTACAACAACTCCTAATGTTTACTGGTGTATTTGGTCCATAATTGGTTTGTAAACCATCATTTTGAAGGTTATCGTAAAGTTGCAACAAGTGTTCATAAATCTTTTTTTTAAGGTTATTACATTTATAACATGTATAACATGTTTGTAAAGTAGCAGGCAGAGAAGCAGTTTTATAAATCACAAGACTGTTAAACTACACACTGAGGTTTCAGTCAACCTTTAACCTTTAGTTATTGTTTACATCTGCATCACATTGTGGATCTGATGAGGCTGCTTGAGCTGATTGCAACCATTCAAAACTGCTTTTTAAGTTCCACCTGAATGAGTTTTAGAAGCATCCTTAAAGTGGCTCTCTGCTCAGTGACACTTAAAATAGCACTGCACAAGCTGCACAGAGCAGCCGAGGAGGACAAGAAGTCAGACCCAAGAACCCAAGATGCACAACAGTCAAGACAAACAAGAGTTCACCTGGGCATCTGATGCATATTGTTAGTTAGAAAAGGCAATGTTATACGGGTTATGTAAATTTGTAAAGCTCATGTTTTGATTTGCTTTGTGTTGAAGGTTTTTGTATGTCCTATCTGCATGTGACACCTGGACCTATTTAAAAATCTATGGTTGTTTTATATTCTCTCTGTTCATTCACTGTCCTCCCACCAGCTCCTTCTAGGGAAACCCCGGCAAGGCGGTATCCCTTCGCAATGCAAAGATGGTGCTGCTGCTTCCTCCCCCAGGCACCGATGCGTTTCGCCCCTTTACTCTGGAATCACTGGCGAAGATCAAGAGGCTCGAGGAGGAAAGGAAAAAGGCAGCAGAAGTAAAGGCTGATGACGAGGAACCAGCAACCCCGAATGCTGATCTGGAGGCAGGCAAGGGTCTGCCCATGATCTTTGGGGACCCTCCACCAGAGCTGCTCAACACACCCCTGGAGGACATAGACCCCTTCTATGAAACACAGAAAGTCAGTATGAGCACACATGGAAGAAAAAGCTCTGCTGAAGCACACAAACACATTGCACACTCAGGCTCTAATAAACTCGACTGTATCTTAAAATGTGTCATTGCAGCTCCATGCAGGGTCTCTTAGAGAATTAATTGAAATGTTGTTTTTTGTGCAAAAAATTACAAACTTCATAGATAATTTTGTGTTTTTCAGACATTCATTGTGATCACCAAAGGAAACACGATCTTCAGGTTCAACGCAGAACCGGCGTGCTACATTCTGAGCCCCTTTAGTTTGGTTAGGAGAGGAGCCATCAAAATTCTCATACATTCATATCCTTTTGATTTATTGAGTGTATTTTAGTTTGAATGGTGTGACAGTATTCTTGTACGCTTCCTTAATCCTGACTTAAATTATTTAGCATGTTCATCATGATTACAATTCTATCGAATTGCGTGTTCATGACAATGAGCAACCCACCAGCATGGAGTAAAACTGTTGAGTAAGTAGCTCATCACTGATTATTCACACGTCACACCTCACACAGTAGTTTGGATAATTAATTCTGATTATTTTCTTTGTAGGTATGTCTTTACTGGTATTTATACCTTTGAGGCAACAGTTAAAGTGTTGTCTCGAGGTTTCTGTGTTGGATCTTTTACATTCCTTCGAGATCCATGGAATTGGCTGGATTTCATGGTGATCAGCATGGCGTAAGTATCTGCTTGTGTGTTTATTTAAACTATGTAGATGCATTTGGTAAATAGTTGTTAGTACTTAAATGACAGTAGGAACTCCACCCTTTTTGCTGGTGCAATATAACCACTGAAGGTTATCCAACAAAGACATTTGGTTTTAGTAAAAGATTGACTAAAACCAAATGTTTTTCCATTTGCTTCATTACATCAGAACAGTGTACCTATCTTATTAGCTGCTAGTGTGGTTCCCTTTTTACACCTCGGCTGTAAAATTCTGATGGGGTATTGTCGTCACCTTGCCGGGAGGGTGGGCAACATAGACACCCAAGTTTGTGAATGTGATAATTCAAGAAGGAAGTCACCTAGGATTTTCAAATTACCACAGGTGTATCTATTAAAAATCGGAAACACACAAACACAGAGTACCGCTGGCCGCTGCCAATGTTTTTGTTTTATTTTTATGTTTTATGATGAGACCTCTGCTTACATCGGGTGGCACGGAAACCATTTCCTTGATATGTTTGTGCCTTTTCCCAGTTACGTCACTGAATTCGTTGACCTCGGCAATGTGTCTGCTCTGAGGACATTTCGTGTGCTTCGAGCCCTTAAAACAATTACTGTGATTCCTGGTATGCGTTCTGTTTTAATATAACACTAATAGTTTAACTCCACTCAGTACACATTATTTTTACTGGTTTTTGAGACTTCCAAATATAGACCACTCATGTATCAATTGTGTTTTGTCAGGTTTGAAAACAATTGTGGCTGCTTTGATCCAGTCAGTGAAGAAAATGGGGGACGTGATGATTCTGACAGTCTTCGCCCTTGCGGTTTTTGCACTCGTTGGTCTTCAGCTTTTTATGGGAAACCTGCGACAGAAATGTGTGCGATGGCCCATCCAAACAAATGACACCATGTTTGAAATCTTTAACGGCACCTCTTCATCCAATAACACAGTGGACTTCAACGACACCATTGGCTTAAATGATACATATACCAACAGCACCTTCAATTTCACTGAATATATTGAAAACTCAGGTATTTTTCATCTAATCTCTAAGTTTTTCATCTGTAATTTTAAATCAATATTGTCCACAGTGGTGTAAAGGTGTAGCTTTTCCAATTTCTTTTTTTGGTTGATTATAGAGAATCACTACTTTCTGGAAGGCAGCCAAGATGCTCTGATTTGTGGAAACAGCTCCGATGCTGGGTGCGTATCACCACAAAGATGCTACAGTGCTAATTTTGTCTTTTATTTGGGGTACTGGAGTTTCAGTCCAGACATGAGCCTTAACTGAAGTTTTAGAAAGGTTGCAAGTGTGATTTGGAGGCTGGGAGTCCAGATGTAGTTGGATAACTTTTCTTCTCTGCTGACAGGAAGTGCCCCGAAGGATACACATGCATGAAGGCTGGGAGGAACCCAAACTTTGGCTACACCAGCTTTGATTCTTTTGGCTGGGCCTTCCTTGCCCTCTTCAGGCTCATGACCCAGGACTACTGGGAGAACCTTTTCCAGCTGGTTGGCTCTTCTTTCATTTGCTTCATTACAGTTTATGCTTTAATTTTAAAAATGTATTGTGAAGAAATTTGTCCTTAGTCCTCGTAGCTTCTTTTCTGTTCTTAAAACAGATCATGAGGGCAGCTGGTAGGACATACATGATGTTCTTTGTAGTCGTTATCTTTCTGGGCTCCTTCTACCTCATCAATCTTATCCTGGCTGTGGTAGCCATGGCTTATGACGAACAGAATCAGGCAACTCGGCAAGAGGCCATCGAAAAAGAGGAGGAGTTCCAGCGACTACTAGAGCAAGTCAAGAATCAAGAGCAGGTAACTTGCACCGGCCTGTTACACTGAAATCAGAATTAGTTCAAAAACTGATTAAAACAAATGGCAAACAAATTTGTGTTCCATTTGCTTGATTTATTATTTTTTCCAAAAACAATCAAAAGCATTTTTGATGCAAGTTTCAAAGACTATTATTGGCAAATAAATCAAACTTATACACAGAGACAGTATTTACAGTGTTGAACCTCCTTCTTTATATGCAGTTCTTTCTGGCACCGGATGCTTTTCAAGGGATGTGATCTAGGGAGACTCTTGGTCATAGATTCAAACTATTATTTACTTTGCCTTGTGACGTGGTGCTTTTTCCTTCCTGAAAAATGCACTGATTAACACTAAATTCCTCCTGGATGACTGGAAGAGATTGGTCTTTGCCTGGATCAAATTCAAAATAAAACTGAATATGCAAAGTGTATAAGACACAAATATGTGCCACAACAACCACTTTTAACCACAACTATTTGGATTTAGTGTCCCAGCAATCCCTGACTCATTGCCAAATTTATATTACTTTACAATAACTTCCCATGCTGTCCACGTGTTCAAACGTTTAGAGTATTATTACAGGTCAAAACTAGTCTCACCTTCAAGCCTTTTAGCCAAAATCCCAGTACTGGTTTTTGCCATCCTATGACTCATAGTAAAAACTTTGTTTTCTTCTTTTTATTCGGTATTATCCATCCATCCTTCCACCTTCTTCTGCTTAACCGGGGCTGGGTTGCGGGGGCAGCAGCCTAAGCAGAGAAGCCCAGACCTCCCTCTCCCCAGCCACCTCCTCCAGCTTGTCCGGGGGAACACCAAGGCGTTCCCAGGCCAGCCGAGAGATATAATCTCTCCAGTGTTTCCTGGGTCTGCCCCAGGGCCTCCTCCCTGTGGGACATGCCTGGAACTCCTCAACCAGGAGGGCCCAGTAGGCATCCTTGTCAGATGCCCGAACCACCTCAGCTGGCTCCTTTCAATGTGGAAGAGCAGCGGCTCTACTCTGATCTCCTCCCTGAACTTCTCACCTTGAACTTCTCACCCTATTTCAAAGGGAGATGCCATCCACCCTTCGGAGGAAGCCCATTTCTGCCACCTGTATCCGCGATCTTGTTCTTTCGGTCACTACCCACAGTAGTGTAGCTTTTCCAATTTCTTTTTTTGGTTGACCATAGGTGAGAGTAGGGAATCGCTACCTTATCATGGTGTAGGGAGTTTTGTGTTCCAGGGCTCCCAGGGGCTATGTTGTCCAGGGGCTTCTGCCCCCTGGTAGGGTCTCTTATAGCAAATTGGTCCTGGGTGAGGGACCAGACAAAGAGCAATTCAGAAGACCCCTATGAGAAGAACACCTAGGGAACAGTTCACCCTGCTCAGGATAGGGTTACGAGGGCCCCACTCTAGAGCCAGGTCCGGAGAGTTTGCCCGAGGGCAAGCGTCTGGTGGCCATCTTCCTAACCCATCCTGCAGGAAGACCCATCTTTCTGCAGGACCATCTCCTGCAGGAGGCACCGTTGGGGTCGGGTGCATTGTGAGCCGGATGGTGGCCAGGAGCGGTGTCCCTGATGGACCGATCCCTGGCTACCAAGACTAGCAGATGGGACATGGAATGTCACCTATTCAGTACTAAATTATAATAAAGTAATATTTTATACTGTAAAATTACAGCCGAGCCATCTTTTAAAGGGTTTTATAAACTGTCCAATGCAATAACAAAGACTTCTTACTGAATGACTTATCTTCTGCCAATCAGGCTAAGATGCTTGGTAGCCAAGGCACTCTAACCAGCAAGAACTCGCTCAGCCATCACACTGGGTCTGATTTGGCAGATGACGAACAGAGCCTTGACCGTGATGAAATTGTCAAAGATTGCAATGGGAGAATTATTCCACGTCTAATGATCAGAGCGCCTACCATGAACGAGGTAAGTTATAGTTAGTGGTGCCTGTATGAGTGTTTTTAAAAACCTTTGCCTTGTCCATCTGCAATTACATACCTTGACTTATGTGTTTTGAGAAATTCTCAAACTATATTTGTAGCACTTTGGTCAACATTGTTGGATATAAAGTGCGTTTAAATAAAGACTCTATGCTATGCTATGCTATTTTACAGTCTGCCATGGATTATGAATGCAGAGATAAGTCACTGGGCTCCGTTCACAGCATGCTTCAACTGGATGAACCATGCATGGCAGAGAGAACTGCTAGTGCTCTGACTGTGCTCACTGCAGCTGCCATGGAAGGTACAGCACCAAACACACACAATATTGATATCACACTAACAAAATTAGGATATGTTCTTTAGCTTTGATTAATGTAAGCTGAGGGCACAACAACATAACCTCTATTTCGGGGTAATGTTTTTTTTTTATACTGCGTGGAGAAATCTGGCATCTGGAAGTGTCGGGTGCCACTGGGGGTGAAGAAGAAATACACAAGGCTTAGCATTAGGTGCTCTGGTGTGAGCAATAATTCCTAAGATTATCAAGCAGTTGTTAACATTGTTCATTAATTTATCCAAGGCCGATACAGTGGAGTTGTCTTGAGCTTATCATAACGAGGCTAAATATATTGTGTGTAGCAGAGATTCCTGTCAAACATGGTGTTAAGCTAGATCTATTTCAGCACAGCTATAACCTGAAGCAACAAGACTTGGACTTTAGGTTGAAAGTTTAGGTTTAAGTGAGGTTTAATATTACCTTTTGTTTTCTGCCTCTTTCTCTAGAGTTGGAGGAGGCTCAGAGGCCATGCCCACCTGGCTGGTACAAATTTGCTGACCTTTTCCTGAAGTGGGACTGCTGTACCCCCTGGGTGGTCTTTAAAAAGCGAGTATACTTTGTTGTGATGGACCCTTTTGTTGACCTGGCTATCACTATCTGCATTGTGCTCAACACCCTCTTCATGGCCATGGAGCACTACCCCATGACCCCGGAGTTTGACTATATGCTGTCAGTGGGGAATCTGGTATGTGCTGCCTAACATTTTAAAATACTTTAAAGACATTGCTCAGATTTAAGGGGTGAAAAAAACATTTATCTTTTTTTAAAAGGTTTTTACAGGTATTTTCACAGCAGAAATGGTCTTCAAGCTTATTGCTATGGATCCCTACTACTACTTTCAAGTTGGCTGGAACATATTCGACAGCATCATTGTTACACTCAGTCTGGTGGAGTTGGGGCTGGCAAATGTTCAGGGTCTGTCAGTCCTCAGATCATTCCGTCTGGTGAGACACACTGATTAAATTTCTTTGCATCAGTTTAACACAGTGGAATTACCTGCTCTGCTATTACTAAATGTTTTTATTTATTTTTGTCCCATGTTTGGTGACAGCTTCGAGTTTTCAAACTGGCAAAGTCCTGGCCCACTCTCAACATGCTCATCAAGATCATCGGTAACTCAGTAGGGGCTTTAGGAAACCTGACTTTGGTGCTGGCCATCATCGTCTTCATTTTTGCCGTCGTGGGCATGCAGCTCTTTGGCAAGAACTACAACGACTGCGTGTGCAAGATCTCCTTGGACTGTGAATTGCCGCGCTGGCACATGAACGACTTCTTCCACTCATTTCTTATCGTGTTTCGCATCCTGTGTGGGGAGTGGATCGAGACTATGTGGGACTGCATGGAGGTTGCCGGAACTGGGATGTGTTTAGTTGTCTTCATGTTGGTCATGGTCATTGGAAACCTAGTGGTGAGTCCAACAACTGCATACTATCTTCAGACTGAAGATTGAAGAAAGAAAGTCTTAGTTATTTCAGTGATCCATCTAGGAGATTGTGAAGTAAATATTTGAGTATGTTAAGGAAAAACTTGTGAAACTTTTTTTTGTTGGAGCTGGAGGAAAGAACTGTTTATGCGGATCAGCCAAAAGATTAAAACAACCTCTCTTATACCGTGCATGCCCCAGTCGTGCAGCCAAGAAAATTTTGACCCATCAGTGCAGGATCACCTGACCTCCTCACCCCTGTGGTTCGAGACTTCAGATCCTCTGTGTTCTGTGGGTTGTTGCATAGTATCCATGGATCAGGCTTGTTATGGCACCTCTCACGGGTGTTTTGAGATTTTTCATGTTCCTCAAGCTGCTCCTGAGCAGTTTTTGTTGTTTGATTGGACTCATTGCCCAACTGGGGATCTAGATGAATGACATGTGTCAGAGTGACATTTATTTCCCAGGAGATTGTTTCAGTCCAACATATACAATTTAACAGAACAGCCTTTGAACTGATTGAGAGTGATGAGGCTTCAGGGTTTGTAATGCTTTCTGAAGAATTCTGAGTGTCTGTAGCATGAAAACGCTGCCCCCTGACCTTTTTATCTTGGCCTCACGAAACAAGGCCATACAGACCATCACTGTCAGACATCATTTCAGCATCATATTTAATGACTAGAGCCAAATCCATTTCCTATCAGGTTATTCATAGAAATGAAAAGGAAATGGCTCATCATCAAGGTTTGAAGTATTGTGTTAGGCACGCTGTGCCAAAATTGTTGAGGCTTCTTGGATCTTAAAGTTACTTACCCACTGTTAAACCTGAGCATGCTTACTTAACACATGAATGTACACTTTTTTCTCTAATAATGAGGCAAATAATATACTTACAAGGTTCATGGGAGGGGGTTTCTATTTAAATCTAATGACTTAAGCTACCAAACAGTGGTTTTGACCTTGAGTATGCGCTAAGATCCGGCTCAAGTAAGCATGCTGCCACTGATGGAACAAACGCGGACAGCTGAGCGAGCACAGCTCAGGTGGCAGTGCGTCTGGGTGTAAAAGAGAAGTCATTTGATAGCAGATTGAACTCTAATCGATGTAGAGGTAATCATATTGAGCCATCAACACCACAGCATATGGAGCAGAGAAGATTTAAAGGGGACTTATTATGTTTTTATTTATTTTATGTCATACATTACTGTTAGAATGGTGGATGATCATTCTGTGTGAGATGGGCAGCCAATTAGAATAAACTTGGCTCAGAGGGAGGGGCTTATTTTGAACTGAGAATCACGCAGAGTATTTTCTTTAGTTGAATGAGCATGAAATCACCACTAGCTTTTATGCATAGTTTTTATTAAACAAATGATAATATAACATCAGCTCAAGCTGCTGGCTGTGCCTTCAGATAAAACCAAAAGTAATGAGTTTTAAATGTTTAGATTTTTTTTTTAAATTTTAATCTATTTTGCAGCAAGAAATTGACTGGGTACATTTCCTATAGGCCACACTGTTCCTCTAAGACAAGGAAGAAATGTCTCACTTCATCAGGTTACCGGAACTGTACAAAGCTAATGGAATTAGCTGACAAATCACCTGAATTATATTCCAGGAGACTAGGAACATGACCCTGAAAAACACTATAACCTCTACCACAGTTATTTTTTCCACTCATCAAAGATCATCAAATCCATTTCCGATCTTTCATTGTCGCGTTTGGTTTTTGTGCAGCTCATATTGTCCATCAGCTTTATTTTCTTATTGACATCTCTGACACTGGAATAAACGAGATGAGCATTCCCACTAGCCCATGTAACCATGATCTCCTGCTAAACCTGGGAAATAGAAGCCGTGAAATCAAATAACATGTTTGAGTAACTAAAGATAGCTGCATCTGAGACAGGAGGCAGACAACATAATATTTACTGATGTGACGTCACAGGAACAATATGGTATATGATGTCTGCTTGAGCTATTCCAAACTTGTGTTTGGTTCAGCAAAGTTAGTACAGTTTTACTCACTAATCACTGGATATAAACTTGATCACTGTTTTGCAGTCGAGTAATGATTCCTAATTCTCACTTCTTTAGGCATCACTTTGACTGTCAAATATTTATTTTCACTAAACAAAATGAACAATAAGAAGCTGTTAATTACCTTCATTACTCTTTGAACTCAGGTGCTGAACCTCTTTTTGGCCTTACTGCTCAGCTCGTTCAGTGGAGACAACCTTTCTGCAGGAGAAGATGACGGAGAGATGAACAATCTCCAGATTGCCATCGGCAGGATCACACGGTTCATCGACTGGTTTAAAGCGTTCATCATTCAAACTATCTTGCGGACTCTTGGCAGAAAGCCCAAGGAGCCTGACGAGGGCCCTGCTGATGACGTCGACCCTAAAACGGAAGGAATTGAAATGAACCATTTGGACACCAGTCAGACTTTCAAACTGGCAGATGGGATGTCAGATTGCCTAGTTGAAGGCCGGCCTTCTGGATTTATTGTGGATGGAGAGTTTAGTCTTAGTGTGCCAATTGCCCAGGGAGAGTCAGACTTTGAAAATCTGGGAGAGGACGATGAGGATGATGAAGATGAAACCAGTGATTCCAATGATGATAATCACTCTGAGAGTTTAGATGAGGGACATAGCCAGCAGAATACCGTAAGAAAACTTCTTATCCAAAGTCTTATACAGTTTATTTCAAATAATTGCCATCTTGTGATCTATTATTCATCTCAAAATAAGATTTTAACAGCTCTTGACCACCAACGATAAATTGTATTGGTTAATTCATTCATTCATTCATTCATTCACGAGTCCAACTTGACTTTTTTGTTTTCAAATTTGCAGCTAAAATTCAATTAATCAGGAAATATATATCCAGCATAAGTAAAATTCGACTTTGGTTAACAAACTGGTAACATAGCTTAAACATGTATTGGAACTTTGTATTAGGAAATTTACCAAACATTAAAATAAATCCTAACTATCATCAGAATATATATATTTTTGTAACTGTTGGAAATAAGGCAGCAAAGAAAATAATTATTCTCAAAATAAATAATACCGGATGTTGTTCCTGACGTAACCTCAAAGGGATTTGTCTGTGCTCCCAGGATCCCCATAATGTATTTTTGGGACAATAAACTTGTGTGCTGGATGTTTCTCAAACTCCTATGAACGCTCAATAAAGTTTGTTTTCTGTTCGTCTGCTGTTTCAGGAAAATGTGAAAGATCAAATTAGTATCCCAGGAAATATCAAAGTGAGTTAACAGTATTTTCATCTGTGTGATTGCATAAGGCATTTGCATCTGAACTTTAACTGTGATTCTTGTCTAGCTGATGGGTGCTCGGAATAGTGAAGATTCTTCAGTATGCAGCACAGCAGACTATCGACCACCTGAGCCTGAACCGGAAATAGAAGAGCCAGAGCCACTGGAGCCAGAGGCGTGCTTCACTGACAGTATGAACAACAATTTTATTAAATAAGCAAAACTAAAAAGTCACAGAAGTCTTTTTCAGTAGCCATTCTGTAATCTGACATTATGAGGTAATCGCAAACCTTTCCACTTTTCTCAGACTGTGTGAGGCGCTGGCCATGTCTGATGGTGGACATCACCCAAGACAAAGGCAAAAAATGGTGGAACCTCCGCAAGACCTGCTTTACTATTGTGGAGCATGATTGGTTTGAAACCTTCATAATCTTTATGATCCTCCTCAGCAGTGGAGCTCTTGTGAGTGTTGTCATAACAGCAACAAATTTAGAAACGATGACCTTTTTATGATAGCGTTAAGACACTGATCCTGTCATGACACATATCTAGGTAGATAATGTTTTCTTTTGGCAGGCTTTTGAAGATATATACATAGAAAAGCGCCGAACGATCAAGATAATTCTGGAGTATGCTGACAAGATTTTCACCTACATATTTGTCATCGAGATGCTCCTTAAATGGGTTGCATATGGCTTCAAGACCTATTTCACCAATGCCTGGTGTTGGCTAGACTTTTTCATTGTAGATGTAAGTTTCACTGCTTGCCTGTATGTGATAATACATCTCCTATGCCAGAAAGGTTTTGTGATAGCACTTGAATGGGAAATGTTTTGATTCTGCTACAGATTTCCCTGATTAGTTTAGTTGCCAACTGGATGGGCTACTCTGACCTTGGGCCAATCAAATCCCTCAGAACCCTCAGAGCACTAAGGCCTCTTCGCGCACTATCAAGATTTGAAGGGATGAGGGTAAGTTATTGGCTGCTAATGCTTGTTTCATATGGAATTTGTAATACTTAATGTTAACATTATAATATTTTGAATGGTTAACACTGATTTAGAAGATGCAAACCTGTCATGTTTGATGCACTCTTGTACTAATTTGCCTGGCTTTGTCCAACTGTGTTTGTTGAATGCATGCTTAAACCACAGCTGCTGTAACAGAGGTGACTGAGGTGAGTTTCCCGGAGTCAGCTGACTAACTAATCAATGCATTCACTTAAGTAAGATTATTGTTGTAGCCCTGTGCAAAAGTCTTGAACCACCACTCATTTCTTTCTTTTCTTTTTTCCTTTCCAAGGAGTCAGACATTCTTGTTATTTTAAAGTGTTTTTGAGCAAGTTTTCCTTTGTTTCTGAAGATCTTTCAAAGCTTTTCTTTGGACATTAGCTGCTTTTTCACTCATTTTCAGTCAGGTTCTTGTACCCGACCTTATCTTTCCTTTTATTTTTGTTTATTTGTTTGTTAAGTCACCTAAGATTGACCTATAAATCATTCAAGTATAAAAGATGTATCCAACTCAAAGGATCAGTATTGTGTGTCAGCAAATAACAGTTTAGCCAAGAACCAATTTGAATTGTATCTTTAAGCACTTTGTTTCTAGCAGCCTGTTGCAAAAGCACATAATGTTCTCTTTTCTTTAGCTGAGTCTATAAAACATGACATGCAGTCTGGGATCATTTTGGTAGAGAACGAAACAAAAGTCAAGAAGCCTGGAGAACTAGACCAGAGGACTCCTTTTAGGAAACAGAATAAAACTTGCCTAAGAAAGCTCAGACTACAATATAGAAAACAGGTGGCAATGCCAAATATTGACTTGAAATCTTGTTAGGGTTCTAAAAACTCTGTTTGTGACTTACATACTGTGCTCTCATGAATATTTGCACCTTTCAATAAATTGCTCCACCTATTTCCCATCTTGCTAACAAATTACAGAGAAATGTGGGGTGCTTTTGCACAGTACTTCAGGTCTTACAGCTGAATAAATTATTGAATAAATCTGAATATCTATTGCAAAGTTCTAAACAGAGTCTTGTCTTGTGGGGCAGGTGGTGGTAAACGCTCTCGTTGGAGCAATTCCCTCCATCTTCAACGTGCTACTGGTGTGTCTGATTTTTTGGCTCATCTTCAGCATCATGGGAGTTAATTTGTTTGCTGGGAAGTTCTACCGCTGCATCAACACCACATCGGAGGAGCTTTTCCCCATCACTGAAGTCAATAACCGGAGCGACTGCATGGCCATCAAAGAAGCGACACAGGAGGCCCGCTGGGTCAACATGAAAGTCAACTATGACAATGTTGGACAAGGCTACCTGTCCCTACTTCAAGTGGTGAGGTGTTTTGTTTGAGTTAAAGAAAATTAGTAGTCATATTTACTGATACATATTTTAAATAAATGTTTTCACTGACTGCAGGCAACTTTTAAAGGTTGGATGGACATCATGTATGCTGCTGTCGACTCAAGAGAGGTAATGATTTTGTGTCTTTGAAGTTCTGGTGAGCTGCATAAAGGAATCCTCATCTGGGGCAATAAATTGCGACTATGAGTCCAATTACAATTATTTCCTTAGAAGAGCATGTATGCATTGCAATCCGACATTATAAAATATCCGATGAATCAAATGAAGAAAATCTTCCAACCTGTAACTGAGCAAATGATGATGATTAGGCATTTATTCACCTGTATTTTTTCTACTTAGGTGGAAGAGCAACCATCCTACGAAATCAACCTCTACATGTACATGTACTTTGTCATATTCATTATCTTTGGCTCTTTCTTCACACTTAACCTCTTCATTGGGGTCATTATTGATAACTTTAGTCAGCAAAAGAAAAAGATAAGTATAAGACTTTGTTCATCTGAAATAGTGCCTGTGCAAAAGCATTGAGTGTTTTCTTTCCTATTTTCAAGTGTACAATTTTATAACTTTAAACCACATAGACTTGTGACATTATTTAAATTCCTATAATTACGTTTGAATTCTGCTTTTTCCGCACTTTGGAGATGAAGACATCTTTATGACTGATGAACAGAAAAAGTACTATGAAGCCATGAAGAAACTTGGTTCCAAGAAGCCACAGAAGCCAATTCCTCGTCCAACGGTAAGACATTATGATTATTTTAGTTTTCTGTATTAGCAATGCTTTATGTTGATCAGTCCAAGACTGGAAAACTTGCATGTATGAATGACATCATCAGAAGTAATGATGCTTCACGTTGGCATGCATAACGTGGCTATGTTCACCTTTTCTGCACACTACTTGTGTTAACAGGCCAAATGACTTTCCTGGATTTGTATTTCTGTTCCTCACTGCTCTCGATTTGCTTCCTCTCCTTTACAGAACCTAATCCAGGGCATAGTGTTTGACTTCATCAGTCAGCAATTCTTTGACATCTTCATTATGGTCCTCATTTGCCTCAATATGGTGTCCATGATGGTGGAAACAGATGACCAAAGTGCAGAGAAAGAGGATTTCCTCTTTAAGTTAAACGTGGCTTTCATTGTGGTCTTCACTGGAGAGTGTGTGTTGAAGGTCTTTGCCCTGCGGCAGTACTACTTCACCAATGGATGGAACATTTTTGATTTTGTCGTGGTCATCTTGTCAATAGCTGGTGGGTAATTAATGAATTAAAAGTACAGCTGTGAATTGCTAATTTGGTCCAGCAGATATATTGATACATTGTTGCTTTTCTGTGTGTTTTCTTTCAGGTACAATGCTCTCAGACCTAATTGAGAAGTACTTTGTGTCACCAACTCTTTTCAGGGTGATCAGACTGGCCAGGATAGGCAGGATTCTACGTCTTATTAAAGGAGCTAAGGGCATTCGGACGCTTCTATTTGCCCTGATGATGTCCCTACCTGCTCTATTCAATATTGGTCTCCTGCTCTTCCTCAATATGTTCATCTTCTCTATATTTGGGATGTCAAATTTTGCCTATGTCAAAAAGGAGGCTGGGATTGATGATATATTTAATTTTGAAACATTTGGAGGAAGCATTATCTGCTTGTTCCAGATTACAACATCTGCAGGCTGGGATGGACTTCTACTTCCAATGCTGAACCGGGAGCCTCCAGACTGTGATCCAGACTTTGAGCATCCTGGCACGAATGTAAAGGGCAACTGTGGAAGCCCTGGCATGGGCATGGTGTTCTTCTGCAGTTACATCATCATCTCATTCTTGGTGGTGGTCAACATGTATATTGCGATCATCTTAGAGAACTTCAATGTGGCTCAGGAGGAAAGCAGCGATCCACTCAGTGAGGACGACTTTGAGATGTTCAATGAGACATGGGAGAAATTTGACGTTGATGGAACTCAGTTTATTGAGTATAGCCAGCTCTCAGATTTTTGTGATACCTTGCAGGAGCCACTGAAGGTTGCCAAACCCAACCTGTTCCAGCTGATCGAAATGGATCTCCCCTTGGTTGCTGGAGATAAGATCCACTACTTGGATGTGTTGATGGCTGTCACTCAGTTGATCTTGGGAAACACAGTGGAGATGGAAGCAATACGGAATAGCACTGAGGAAAAATTTAAGGATAGCAAAGACACCTTTGCACCAGTTATCACAACGGTGCGCCACAAAGAAGAGCAGAGGGCCGCTGTGGTTATTCAGAGGGCTTACCGCAGCCATCTTCTGAGGCGCTGCTTATGCCATGCAGCTTTTATGCATCGATCTAAGAAGATGGGGAGAAAGAAAGAAGGTGACGATCCACCAGAAAAAAAAGGGTTGATTGCACGAAGGTTAGGGGTTCTCTATGGGAGTAATGCAGAGCTTGCTGAGGAAATGGAGCAAGCAGCTTTAGAAACTTTGGCAAGACAACAGCCCTCTAATCCTGAGGCAATGTCACATTACAGAGAGGCACGGTGCTGTCCAGAAACCCCCGTGCAAAATATTGTCGTTGTTCCTGTAGAAGTCACTAATGAGGTTTTATTGCATTCTGCCCCCAACCAACACCTCTTGACTCTACAAGAAAACCTGACAGAGTCAGTTGTATAGTAAACTGCACAATATAATTATTTGTCTCTTCCCTCTATTCTTTTTTTTTTTTTTTTAACAGTGATGGAAACTGTTCTTGTTAATGTATAAGTGTTGCTGATATGCTTTTTAACTCTAGATACAGAAGAGTCTAACTGATGTTTCGAATGCAGTTTTTATCCCTAAACTTAAGAATCTATTCCTCTTTTTTTTCATGCTACATTTAATTTTCTTGGGTATTGAAAGTGAAACTGAAGTGTGTACTGCCAAGCAGGTTCAAAATAACAGGGTTTTTGTGTGCAAAAGTGCGCGTTAACTGCCTTGACAAAACCTACAGGTTCAGTTTTAAGGTTCAGTTCAGTTTTAATGAGTTCAGTTGGTGGTGGTGGTTCACAAGTTAACAGAGAAAGTTGGTAACCAACTTTCTCTGTTAACCCCAGTTTTCTGTTTCAGGCTCAGGGAAATTTGATGCTTTCTTCTACACAAAATAAACAAATTGCCTTGCATCAGTAGGGAGGAAAAGGAGGCAAAATCAAACAAAAATAAAAAAAATATGATGAGAAGAACACACCAGAAAACTGCTAATGTTGTAAATCCACATGAATATATGTGTTTTACCATTCTCGTCAGTTACACATAGGAGGTCTGAAACTTCAAACTATATTTCATCATGATATTGATGAACGATAATGATGGAATAAACATGAAATCGTACATATACATTTCATGCATCATCAAATTAACGTGTGCTAATTCTCGTGGCAATGCGAAGCTTGGAGTTTGCGCTGTTGCAATTAGACTGGGGTATTACGCTAATAATAGTCTGTGGCTCAGCTGGTATTAAAATAATATTCTCTCAGCTCAGAATCATATTTCATTAAAAGAACTTTTGAAAACACAACACTTACAGCTAATTATACCTAACCTATCCGGGTTAAAAGAGGTTTTAGTGACACTAAAATCTCTGGTTTAAGTCTGAACATACCTTGTCGTACACCCCTCAATGTTTCCTTCATAGAAACATAAAACTTAACAAAATTAGTCAAGGAAAATTGTGATTTAATGCACAATTCAAAAATAATGAAACAGTAAGATATGATTTCTTTCAGTTTAACAGAAATACAAGATCTAATATTTATTTTAACCTTTTTTATCCAATAAAAATATGCTAGACTTTACTGTAGGCTGAAACATTATTGTGGACTAGAATCTGTTTTATGGTAAATTTCTAGTGGGAAGAAAACAAACAAACAAACAAACAAAAAAAACAGAAAGAAAAACAAAGGCAAAACCTAAATTGAGATAAGCTAACAATAGCTGATTCACATGAACGTGAATCAGAACAGATGGATTGCAAAAACTATGATGAAAAACATGAACATAAACCAAAGCTTGAAAATAATCCTGTGACTTGAAGTCCATGATGCTAGACAAACAGATAACCCGACACTGAACAGAGAACGACAGAGGACCTAAATACACAGGATAATGATAATGAGGGAAGTGAAAACACCTGGGGATAATGAGCTGACACAATTGAATCTGAATGCAACAGGGGAAGTACAACTAAACACACTGAACATGGAACACCAGACCCTTCAAAGTAAAACAGGAAACAACAGAACGTAGACAAGACAAGACAAGCTTGACAACGTGAACACAAAGACATTACAAATGACAGACTTCACAGGGGACAGGATAAGACTCATATCAGGAGACATAGACGAAACATAAACTAAAACTCAACTAAGACAAATTAATAATACTGGAACAAGTATTATCTCAATATATAAGAAGCAAAGGAAATACAAAATAAAACAAAAAAATCATAATTCATGTTATCAAAAGGTAAAGAGTATAAAAGACTAATATTAGTGTTTTATTATTAATTAGGTACCAGATGACTTTCTATGGGGAATCTGTTTTGTACACAGGTAAATAAATTGCTATAAAATAGAGTCTCTGGATCTCATTGTCCCTCTCTTTCTGTGAAACTACTTATTAGTTAACAATGGGGTTAACTAAACCCACATGGTGTGGCTAATATAGTTAGCATCTGTTCCTAACAGGCTCATTCAGGCAGGCCCAGTTTATATTGCACTATTTATGTCCCTCCAAGTCAAATAAGAGCAGTTCACTGCACTCCACTGAATGATTTCAAAGGTTATTTCCCACTTACATACTGTATGCATGTTTATATTTATATTTTTTGGTCCCTTCAGATATCAGATGTTCTCAAAACCTAAATCAGCCATGTTTGGCCATTTCATAGCTGGATTTCCCTTTCAGCATTCAGGTTTGAACGCTGTCTGTAAACTTACAATGTGATGTTTTTATGTTAATGTGGCTGTATTAGAGAACTGCTAAGCACATACTTACTCGCTGTGCATTAAAAGGAAGTTTCGTCTCAGGTTAGATCACAAGATGCAAGGCACACACATTGAATGGTTGAATAAAAAAAAAAAAACATGTGCCACTTTCCAAAATGTAGTTAATCAGATCTTTTTACAAATTTACAAGAAAACCTGCAGTGGATCTAGTCATATAAACATGTTAATTCTCTTGCTTTTGTCTAAGTCTTAATAGAAATTATGATGTCTTACTTTAAATATATGGTACTGTGTAAAACTTGCAGGCAGTTTTAAAAGTAATTTCATATAAACATATTTTTTTTAAATTTAGCAATAAACTTCATTTAAAGTGCAGTAAACACAGAAAGAAATCAAATAAAATCACTCTTTGTGAATATAATTTATTTCGAGAACGGTACCACTCCTCTTTGGTACTTCGTCATGCAGTATTATTATTATTATTATTATTATTATTATTATTTTTTCATTTTAATTTGCACAGGTAGGTTGTCCCAAGCATCCTAAAGACTTTCCTTGACTGTTTTGTGGATTTATTTTTTCTCTTCATGCAGTTCTCGACTCACAAAATGATGTTGATATCTGATCAGATGCCCCTTTACATTCTGCACAGTACTGTATATACATGAATAACATATGCACTTTTACAGTTTTCTAGCTTGTTTTTTTTAACAATAAGCAATAACATGTCTATTTTCATTGAGTTTGACACTGTTCCAATTTCATCTTTGGAGAAGGTACATAAATTATGAATGTTTCCTCCACAAGGGGTCTCTCTTGTCATATCCTGCTGCTACAGCATGGCAGTTTTTCCTGTCAGGAGACTGTAACGTGACCATCCGAACTCCTATGTGAGACTGAGACACCGCTGCACCACTCAGCTATAGTGTCCTCTCATGGGACAGTCATATTCACAAGACAGTGTCCTCTTTTTGTTTACATTTCTACTGGAGGAAAAGACACATGGGGAGCTTTGCTGGTACAACCTACAATCACCTACAATGTTGCTTGTACATACTTTTTTCTTTTTTTCTTCTGAAATGTACATTTATATCATTTTGTTATTTTAAAACTATGTTGTTAGAATAAAACAGTTATTGTAAAGAAAAGTAGGCTGTGCGATCACTTGTCAGTTACTACTTTGTCTTGTCTGTGAAATTGCATTGATGCACTGTAGCCCTCTGCTGGTGGAGAGGTTGACAGCAACACTAAAAACTGAAGATGGAAAACAACCAAGAGAACATAATGTAGTGACTTTTTACTCTTTAAAAAAGCCACTATAGTCAGACTTTTTAATGAACTATGCTTTACATTAATCTCTATGTCTATGAGTGTCCATCTTTTTGCATAATTATAAGAAATGTAGGTTAATGAGTAAGAAAAAGCACATTAAAAAAGCCTCATCACTAAGGAGCAACACTTCGAGAGCTCTACTTTAACCTCCTCAAAAACAACTTACAACTGTTAAACATGTGCAGTGTGTTTTTTTTGTTTTTTTTTTACAGTCAAACCATTTTTATTAACAGGGGATTAATTGAGGCCTTAACTTAATAGCAGGTTCTATGTTGAAAAATATGCATTCACTGACTTTTTCAAGCATGAGTGTCAGTAGATTAAAAAGCACCCTGTTTCTGTCATGGAGTGGGACGATGGGATTTTTGATTTATTTGCATTTTATGTCATTTCATTCTGCATCACCCAGCTAGAGATCACCTCTGCAAATGCATGTTTCTAGTGACTGTTTTCTTGCCACCTGGTTTTCAATGCTACTCTTTTTTTGGTTTTTTTCTTCAGGCCCTAATGTCTAGTAAACCAAATTGGTTGAGGTTGGCAACATTTTTTTAACAAGTAGGATTAATCCAGAATTTTTACATCAAATAATTAGAAAACTGTAAATAGATCTGTCACAATTAAGAGCCAAACACCAAATGACATTTAATTTTGTAGATTTTGTGCTTGCATTTTACTTTTGATTGATTAAATAAATCAGCTTTGCAAACAATTGCAGCCACCATTTCTTATAAAAATGTAAAGGTTCGACATCCTAAACATTGCAAATCTTTTTGGAAATATTTCTTTTCTTTTAGGAGAGGTACAGCATTTCTAGTTATTACATATTTCTTGAAAGAAGCTTTTTATCTCTTCCTTACAGACTGTGATAGGTGATGAAAATCCACACTGTACGCAAAAATCGAGGACTCTGCTGTGCGGAGTTTATCAGCTTTAAAAATTAGGGAAATGAGATCAGCTTGACTGACCTGAAAACTTCACTCTTGACTGCAGCTTTATGTTGCATAACAAGATTGAGAGTCCACAGCAAAGCTAAAAGCTCTTTGGGGGATGTACCGAGCCACATAATGGCATTGTATGTTGTGTTCGTACAATTCTCATTCTCAAATATATTTATTATTTATAGGTTTATATTTTTCTTAGTTTGTTTATTTATTTTACTGTATATTCCATTTTTTATTTTCAGTTCACTTTAGTTTCAGTTAGTTTCCAGAGCTGATTTGGTCGTTTCAGTTTAGTTTTTTATTAGTTTCAGTCTTAGTTTTAGTTTTATACCATTATAACATGGGTGGCATTCAGAAGTTTAGAACATTTATTGCTATGCACATCATTTTAATATCATTTAGCCAAGCACTCATTTAGCCAAACACTCCCAAAACACGCCTGTGTTAAAGCTTCCTGATGCTTGTCGGGTTGACAAATTTGTGTGTAGTAAGAAGGACTAAAATGAACAAAGACTGAGATGATCAGGTGTTTTGAGCTGAGTTTAATTCAACAGTACCTTTATTTTTTTGTTCTTTTTCATAAGTTCATAACTTATAAAAGAGTAAACAATCCTCCAACTCTTACCCATTAGTTGAGCTTGTGTGACTCGAGGCACAGAGAGGGGACTGGCATGGCCTTTATTGGCAGAAGTTTGTGTGTCTTTGCAATTCAATCCCCCCAAAACAACAACATTGTGTTTTTTAAAATCTCCATCTAGTTTTAAGAACCACCACTGCATGTATTAGTGCAACTAACCAAACCATCCTGTAACAAATGACAGTCACACAGACGGTTTTCTGTCTAACACCACTGGGTATTTATGCCCAAAAGGAGGCTTTGGTTTACAATTAGACTTTAGGCTAACTAAAGTCTAAAAAAGCCTGCTATTTTCACTTGAACTCACAAAATTTGGCAAGTTAGATGTGAGTCAACGTTCATTCATAATTAAAAATTCAGACATTAGACAAACTACTTATAAAATACCTGATTTTTGCAAGACAGACAGCAGAAACAGATTAAACATGAGGAGAATGCTATAATACTACAAGCCTGGTTAGAATGATGAGCATATAAAAGTTCCCTGTAATCGGTTAAATATAAATGATTACAGGTAGTTAGTTACTGATACCTGATAGTCATTTCTTCACACTTTTCTGCTATACAAAATTATGAACTACTATCTTATGGCAGCTATTTCAAATAAATGTAATGAAGGCTAAATGAGCATATCATAGCTACCATGCTTTTGTAATGTGTCACTAATTTCTCTGGTCATATATACTTTTATTTCTCTGGTGCTAATTTATTATACAAAATAACTACCAAAAGGCAATGATAGCTACTTTAATAGCCATTATTTCCCTTTCGGACAAATTTGGATTTGTCACTTGATTTGTCACCTCTTGCCACTGATTTTCAGAGCATTTCTGAGGAAGCTTTGGCAAATTGTGTATATATGGATCAACTTAAGGGCCAGGTTTATCTCTCAGGCCCTGTTTCAGGTAATTGGTAGGGTTTTTTTCTGTTATTTTTCATACATAACTTTCAGTTACTGCTAATTTACCACAGATATATATTGCTATATATCGCCACTTCTTCTTCTGTCCTTCACTTTTCCAGTTACCTCATTTCTTTAAGGATACACTGCACACCATGCCAAAATATGCTAGCTTTCTGGTAAAAGCTCTCTATAAATTGGGGTTTTCGTTCTGAAGAGACCATTTAAAATTGGTTCTTTGCCAATTTGCTTGTGAACTAGTTCATCAATTTCAATAGGTGCCATTTTTATGCTGGAATGATTCATAGTTGAGTGTTGAGTGGTTTAAAAACTGTAGAAACTTTAGTCCAAGCCTGGAGAATTGTTGCTAAAGACCACTGCTAAAGACATATTTGACTCATTGGAAACAAAACAAACAAACAAATAAAAAGGGTTGAAAAGTCTCAACGACTTTTGCAGAGTATAGTATCTTCTTTTGCATACTGTGTCTTGTAAATGGTCTTTTTAAAAAGGAATTACATGTTTAAAAACGATCTGCTTTGGTTTCTTGACCATAAAAGCTTTCTATAGAAATCTAAGTTATCTAAAACCATCATCTTGGCATCAATATTGAAACTATGATATTATATTGGCTGTAGTATCACTAATCATAACCTTAATGTTTAGCTTAATAATGCTGTTTCATCTGTCCCTAAAAATGGAACATTTAATCACACGGGTTACCGACAGTAAAAGTGTGGGCTGTTATTTTGGTTCAACGATAGAGCCCTCTTCCTCTTATTTGCCTGCCTGCATGGTGACAGAAGACAGACTGCACACCCACTGATGTGGATACTTCATCTTCGTTCACAACACTTTTAGACCTGCAGAGAAACTCAGATACAGCCGTGGAGTCAGCATCTGAAGCGTATTTCTCTTCTTTTTGAGGACATCATGCGCTGGATGTTAGCTGGATGGTGGGGGCTTGTTTTAATCAGTCTGTCAGGTAAATGGAAACTTTTGGAATATAATCAACACGGTTTTGTGACTGAAAAATGAAACCAATACAGGAAAAATACCAGTTTGAGTGCTACATATATTAACTCACAGTGCCAGTACACCAAAATAATTCAGTAAAGTACAGTACTGGTAATTTATAACACCTCACGCAGTCTTTTTAATTGTATTTTTTATAACTGTTAAACCACAACTACACTGCGTACTAGTGTTTTGCATGTTATTTTTGACTCTGCAGCACCATTACTTCCTGCCCATCTGGGGAAAAGAGGAAGTTTTCTTCTGAAACAAAGACTATAAGATTATTGTCATGTTGATGAATTGAAGTCCTTTATAATTTTATAGTAAATAAATATCACACCTGCACCTCCAAGTTATTCAGTTCCTAGTTTCCATTGCTTTATTTTACATATAACTTGTAATCTAATTTAAAGAATGAATATAGAAATAGCAAATAAAAGAAAAAAGCATCTGATATTTATGTGTTGTAAACATTAAAAACAAACAAATATGATATCCTCATACATGCATGTATACATGTCTTGGGCCATAAATAAGAATTATTTTCAATATCAGTGGATGATAAGGCTTTTATTTACATTAATTGATTTATCATTACTCCATAGTATTAGAGAAAATAGTGCAATTTATCATTTCATTGGCATTACCATTTCAAAAAGGAAATTCATTATTCACTTTGTTTTCTAAACTTTGTGGATTACTATAGGTTATCAATTAAACTTTAGCTTATCTGCAATGATTGCTTTTGTAGCAACATTCATAAAATCTTCCTATTTTTGATGCTTGTGGTTTGTGTAATTTATACTGTAGGTTAGATGAAACCTGGAAATCTGGCAACATCTTTTTATTATGTTTTTTAGACTGAATAAACTGAATAATGGAGACAAAGAATAATGTCTCTTACAACAATGGCACTTTTCTCCACCATGTGTACCATTTGGTTCCATCATCATCTTGAAGTTTGTCTCTTTTTATGTAGTAATTTTTCATAATTAGTGTTACAGGGCATTTATCTTTTGTTTCCACATGCATTAGCCTCTTGTATGGAAGCCCGTTTCCGCCACTAAATAAAAACAAAACAGCTAGTATCCATAACTCGAAATTTCGAGTTATTTTCTCGAAATTTCGAGTTAATAACTCGAAATTTCAAGAAATATAACTCACATTTTTGAGTTACTTTTCTCAAAATTTTGAGTTAGCTCTGCCAATAAAAAATATACGTGAATGAGGTCGCTTTCTTGTTACCCGGAAGCATATGGCGCAGAGGAACGCGCACTCAAAAACGGATCCCAACAAATTGGCGCTTTCGCGAGTACGTTTGCTGATAGTAACACCATGTGATTCAGCTAATAACACAGGGATTTCATCATTTGTGAAGCCAGGCTGAAAACACTCAGCAATCTGTGCATTCACGACTGGATGTAATACCGGTAGCTTAGCTGTAGCATTTGTAGCCTAGGGCTTCAGCTTTCGGGTAACATGGAAATGACGTCATTCACGTAGATTACTGATTGGCAGCGCTAACTTGAAATTTCGAGTTGCTTTTCTCAAAATTTTGAGTTAATAAATCGAAATTTCGAGTTATTGTGTCGAAATTTCGAGAAACTAACTTGAAATTTCGAGAAAATAACTCGAAATTTTGAGAAAATAACTCGAAATTTTGAGAAACTAACTTGAAATTTCGAGAAAATAACTCGAAATTTTGAGAAAATAACTTGAAATTTTGAGAAAATAACTCGGAATTTTGAGTTATGGATCCTTTTTTTTTTTTTAGTGGCGGAAACGGGCTTCCATACTCTTGAGACCTGAGCTCTTGTTTAGTACGCATTTTTAACTTCTCCTAGCTAGCTCCTTCGTGATACAAACTAAGCTTCCTCTTTCAACAGGAAGCCCTTATGATTTCACAGAAAAACATGTCCTCATCCTGGGACAATGGGTTTATTTCACAGGATAAAACAAGAAAGTTAACATTATTTGAAAAAGTACAAAATCTCAGCCCCCCCAGGTGTGGGTTAGGGTTAGGGGTTACCCTGCTGGTGGCTGATGCCCGCAGACGTCAGTGCATTGGTGGTTCTCGGTGTCCGGGGCTGCACTCAGGTATGCACCGACTCAATCTTGGTGGGGCATGGCACCTGTGGCTCAGTTGGGCTCCTTCTGGGGGGGTGGGGGGACCTCGGCCCTCTGGGCCTGGGGCTCGTCCCGCGGCTGGCTGCCGACAGGGCCTGTGGGCATGTCACCGCAGTCTCCTGTAGCTTCTTCACCGTGGCTGCTGGGTGACCCTCAGTCTGGGGCTCTCCTCAGCTCTTTCCAGGAGGATGGCACTGCTGCCCCTCCGGTGGTCCTCCTTGGGCTATCGCGCTCTGGAGGGCCTCTAGATGTTTGGGACCTGGATCTCCTCCATGTCTGCTTCATGCCCTGGGGGACAAGGCTATGGCTCCCCACACCCTCTATCAGATAGTTAAATGGAGAAACCTTTTACATACAAGCGCGCTCACGCAGACAAGTCTGCACACAGGTGTACACATGGGTGCTCATAGACACACTCTATATCTTCCTTTGTTGCTGCCTCAAAGCATACTGTGCATTGACGGTCTTGTGTTCTGCTTGGTAACATTCAACATTTATTATTTACTGTTATTTATAGTTACCAAGGTTGTTGCTGTGGTCTCCCTACTGTGTTGTTCTCTTTTTTTTCTTCCAGCAGGTGAACCAGTGGACTTTTTAAGGTCTTTTCTCACTGTCCTTCTGCCTGTTTTTCTTTCCCCTCTCCTTTTCTTGAACTCTTGTCTTTGTCTTCCCCTTTCCTATCCCCCAGTCATGTCTGTTCTGTTTGTAATAACTTAAAAGTTAAAAATAAATGAAAAAATAATACCAATCAATCTAGTGGGCCAATAATGATCTACTTGATTAAAAAAAAATCTGTTGGGTTTTTGGCCTTCAGACAATAATTCTGATTGCTACAGTGCCGAACGGGACAGGCACAAAAAACCACAAACAAACAAACAAACAAACAAACAAACAAACAAACAAACAAACAAACAAACAAACAAAAAACTAAGAAACATGATTCATTAGAATGAAATATATATGGTGAAGAAAAGTCTTAATGCAATGTCCCTGTATGAGAACACGGGGTCCCAGGAGGTTACGTACATCACTGTTCTCTGTAAAGCAAGCATCTCATAAGTGGCATACACATTATTTATCCTCAACCACAATGACAAAATCCTTTTAATGTATATTTTGTCCATTTGAAATGTGTGATAATTGCTGGTATAACTGTGTCACAGTCTCTTTCAACCTTTCTTTGTCTGCTTAGTTGCTGATAACAAGATACTGCAGATCAAACAGAAACCCCGCTTCTATGGTGTGGCAGTTAAAAGCAATGTGCCCATTTACTGTTCATCCTCACGACAACATAATTCTACTGTGAAGTGGTTCAAGGCCAACAAGATCGGAGACGAGCAAACACCGCTATCGACATTGATAGATGACAACATTCGTTTCCAAATGGCCTATCTTTACATCAACAACATACAAATGAGGCACAGTGGCGTGTACTACTGCAAGATAAATGAAACACAGGGACCCGGAACCGAAGTAAAAGTTTTCAGTAAGTAGCTGGAACAGCATGTCATCAGCAGATCTTTAAAAATACAGTGAACTTTTACCATATTTTTTATTTTTTAAGTATGTACCAACTCACTCATGAAAATGCGCAGCTGACATACATCTTTTCACTGTGCAGGACCCGTTGTGATGGAAAAGGCACTCTACAGGAGCAATCTGAAGGACGGTCTTATTGTGTTCCAGGGTTTTCTTTTAGCTGTGTTCATTGCTGCTCTGTTGCTACGTAAACAAAAACTGGTAAGGCACATGATGAACAAAACTCGAGGCAAATGTGTGCTCCAAAAAAGGATTTTGTGCAGAACTTGCATAACAAATCTTCAGCAAAAAGCAGGGTTTTTTGGATCAAGAATTTTTTTAAAATATGGTTTATTTCAGGAAAACTTAGAGGTTTTTCTTTAGAAGCAGGGAAATGAAATGACAAGGCTGTGGAGAAAAATATATGCATTTACTATGATTAAACTCACAACAGAAAGGCTTTCTAACTGATCATTTCGCATTGCTTAATGTGTATGCAACGTGGTGCACTGAGTAAAATGCTTTGTATCCCAGTGGCAAAGGCAAAAGCTTTACATTGACTTTTCTGTAAACATACTAACAGTCCAAAGTAAAGCAAAAGAAAGGCAGAAAATCATCTAATTAAGAAGACAGTCGATCAACAGTAGCTCAAATATCATAGCTGCTGCCTGATCATTTTCTAAATTGTATCATATTTATAGAACATGCTTTGTTATCTCATCTTGTGATTTGCTCAATAAAATGCACATATAAATGTTGCTGTTGCAAAACAGAAGCTGGCTTTTTGTCAAGATGCTAGCTTAGTTTTTACTTAAAAAGAAGCTAGCTGTTAAGATTTCTGACATGTTGAAATGACAAGTACCCGATTACTAAGGCGCCAGCCAGATACCAATCAGTGCCAATCTAGGTTAGGCATTCCCACTATACTGTAAATGGCTGCATTTCATCCAGGTGCTCATGAGATAGCTATTGAGCTACACAGCTAAAATAACTATTTACACCTGCTTCATATATGTCTGAAATTAAATTAAAACAATACCTATGTCCTTAAATTTTTCTGAAAAGTAAGCCAGTTTTACCTATACAACACTTTTTCAGAATCTGAATTGCCTGAAATCAAAGTTGTCAATGCCATAAAGTGTCTTAGAATGTTTCGACATCCTTAATACACACATGAATCCATTTTACTTTAAATAAAACCTGTAATAAATCTAAAAAAAGATGATCAGTATTGCCAGAGGGAACATGTGCACCCCAAGATATAACTGTTTTTGAGCTAAAGCTCCGTAGGCCTTCATTCATTCTATGTTGTAACCAGCACCTACGAAACTGGAAGTGGAGATAATAGCAGGTTTCAAATAGACGTATTAGATAAGAGGTTCTCTAACATACCAAAAATTACCAAAGGTGTGTTGATATTAATAACTGACAGTGATTTCCACCGATAGTTAAAAAAGAAAATCCATACATTTTATTAAAATAGTTCTTACTCGGTTTAATTCTATATATGAAGTTAAATCTAGTTTTTGAGTTATCACAGTGTTAGCTACAATTATGTTGCCATTTAATAGGTTAATCATTTTCTACAAACATTTATTTAGCTTTTGTCTTTATAACACAGGAAAGCAACTGCAACTGTATTTTTTTTTTAATATAACCTACAACAAAACTCGCTTTAGTGATTTTCACTACAGTTATTTGAGTTGACCGATGCTTACAACACCTACTTCCACATTACTGCAAAAAGACAAATTTTGAAAAAAAAGAAAACAAAACTTTAAATATCATTTTAATTTATTTTATTGTGTGTTATGTGCGATGTGTCTCTAAATAAGATGGTACCCGCTCTTTAACTGCATTCATTCTCCCCACCCACACCCCCATTTCCTTTTTTAACAGTGGGAACGAAGGGACAGCGAATACGAGGAGCCGGAAACAGATCACATCTATGAGGTTTGTCAGCTCTTTGTTTTACAATAAAAAGTGAAAAAAAGAAAGACACTGGCTTTCTTTAAGAAAAAAAATATTACAGTGATGCTTCACTGTGTGGTCTCATTTGTGTAAACATGTCACAGTGAATACACACCACAGCTGTGTGACTTTACATAAAAATGCAGGCGCACAATAGACAGCGAAAAAACAGGAATCGCAATCTCCGTGCACCACTGCGCTCCTAACCACAAATTTACCGTCAGGTTTATTGTTGAATGTATGAATACACATCCTATATTTGAGTTAATAAATAAAGTACATCTAGCTGGCTGAATTTGTATTTCATTTGTTTATTGCATTAATAATAACACATTTGAAGGATTTTTATAGATCTTGTTGCTGCTGTTCTCTTGCACAACAAACAGAACTGTTTGTAAATCAATTATACCAAAAGTGTAGATAGTAGTCTTACTGTGATTGCTTGACTTTTCATATAGTGAAGAGTCATTTAAAGCAACATAGCAAAAACATAGTCATAAATTATAATCTTACTAAGGCTCCAGAATAGTGTACATAAGTGTAAGTTAATAAATAATAATAATAACAATAGCAAGATCAACTTCAATTATCGTACTCAATGCATGAGTCTTTGTGTTTTTTCTTGAGACTTTTTCATCATCAGTGTGAGTTTTCCCCTGAAAATCCTTTTAAAAAAAGTAAATATATTTTACACAAAAATTGCCAAAAAAAGAGAAAGAAAATAACATAAAATGCTGGATGCAGCATATGTGATACAAATTAAAGCTCATATATGCAAAAATAATATTTAAGGTCCATTTAAAAAAAGGTTATTTCATTATTTCATATTTCAGGCTTTACAGGGTTAAGTGGGAGAAATGATAACTTTTATTTTGAGCATGCACGTCTCATGTAAATCAGTCAAACCCACAAATTAACCAAATGAACATGGCTGTAATTCAGAATTTCTAAGTTTTACTAATATCAACACTTTGAGTCACCCTTTTAGGAACTACTAGGAAGGTAAGACTGCACCTGTTTTAAAAGTCAGTGAGCTCACTTTTTCTTGCAGTCCTGTGACTCATACATCACTTAGTTACAATATATTTTATTAAGATTTGAACAACCCTGAATATGTACACTGCACTATAGGACTGTCAGTCGCAATGGCTAAACCTAATAACCTAAACACTGCCAAACTAAGGATTTGAAGTTAAATATGAACAACTATTGGTACAAATTATTAAGTAAAACTAATAAAAAATAAAAGAACACCCAATTACACTTCTTAGTATGCAGACAGCAATTACAGATACATTAATAATATAATTAAGTAAAATTCAAAAATAAATACAAACGAAGTAAAATCCATGAACTCAAATGAAGTAAGGATGTTGGGCTGAGCTCCAATTTGCATTATGAATGAAGAACAGTAGCGTTTGAGGTTCATGCAAACATTGTTATGTTTTGTTACTTTTTCAGTTAATGTCATTCTGCAGTGACATTAAGCAGGAGCCCATTTTTAACTCTGAGTCATGTCTGAAACACCAACTATGCAAATAAAAACTGTAGCTGCCAGTATGCCCAGACATATACAGTAACTATGTAATGGATTTTCAGAATTTTTTTAATCAATCTAGACACATGTATAAGTAAAACAAATTAAGTTAGTAAAACTGACTTATTTCCGTCTTTTAGGGCTTGGCAATCGAGACATGTGGTGGAGGTCTGTATGAGGAACTCTCCGTGTATGCTCAGGCTGAGGGAGCTGAGGCCCCGTGGGAGTGAGACTCACACAAGTACTTTTCACCTGCTAAAGCCTCTGAATGAGGACAGACTATATGTTCTTAATTGCAAGTTGTAAAGTAAGTCCTTAAATAGTTTACTGAGAATGGAGACGTGCATTTTTCTCACAACACAATACATGGTTTGTTTGTAGATGTGCAGCAGCATGCTTGCCCCCCCCCCCCCCTTTTTTTAATGTGATGTTTAGTAACACTGTTTTGAATGAATCTGTTGTCATAAAGTGTAAATAAGCCCTTCTGCAATTTAGACCCAAAAGCTGATATTTCAGCGGATCTTTTTGGTGCTTCTGGTGATGTTTATTTAAACTGTATTGTGTATCAGTTGGTCCTATAAATGTCCAGTCTATCAGTCTCACAGGCTCTGGGTTGTACCCCTGCTCTTGATCAGTGTGAGCTGGGACAGAATTCACGCCCCTTATGACTCCTAACAAAATAAGTCTTAAGTAAGTAGATGGATAATGTCATACTGACTGTGCTAACATGAAATTTTGAAGCCTGAGGGTGGTGCAAAAACAAAGACTAACTTGTGTCAAAGAACAAAAACAACATCTACTTGTTTTTTTTATTTTTCAGTTGTTTGTTAAGATTAAGTGTATACATATGTATTTGGTTTGTTTGACATGAATAAAAACAATAAATACATCTTTCTTTGCTGAAGAAATTTATTTTTTTTCCATAACTAAGGAAAACATTTTTCTTTTTTTAAAATCACCAACATGTTTGATTAAAAAGACAATGGTAAATAGAAATACTGTAAATTAATAAGTAAATAGATAAATAAATAAAAAGAAGCAAATAAATTAACACATCCTTCCTGTAACAGACATGTTTTAGTTGGCAGTGTGCAGAGATGAAACCAGCTGTTCTGCTCTCATGAGATGGGCTTTGGTTTCCTTCCTGATCACCTCCCAGGCTTCAGCACTGTGACCCTACAGACACAACAATATTATCATTAGTAAAATATTCCAGAGGTGTTTAATAAAAGAATTGGTTAAAAAATAAATAAAGACCTACCTTTTTCTTTAGGATATCATCTGAAAGTCTTTTGAAATACATTTTTGTCTTGAAATACAGCTGTGAGTTCTTCTTCTTGTGACTGTGGCTCCCAATCTAAATCAGGAAAAATAGTCATTTAAATATATGTTTTAGCAGTATAATTGATCTCAGTTATCTCAATAGTGGTGTTACTGAAAGTGAACTTACACAGGTGTGAAGCTCTTCAGCCTGTTTGTTGACAATATTGAGCAAGTTCCTCACTGTGCTGTCCTCCCATGATGCAGAGCTGTGATCCTCCTCAAACAGGGCAGCCACCTCCTCCAGAACCTGAACTGTGAAAGCCAGTTTATCCTCAGCCTGGAAGAAGAAGAAGAATCATAGGTTTTTGTAATTCAAAAAACTTGAAAAATAAGAACAAATATCAGAACACTCAGACCTGGGTTTGCATAATAGGAACTTAAAGTTATGACGGTTATGAATTTTAGTTTCTGATTGTATGTCATACCCATGGTAAAATTTGAAAACCTTTACATTATTTTACTTTAAGGAGAAATTAGTCTGGGATTTTATGCGATACAATGAGAAAAGCTGAGGTTGACTTACTGATGCTTTTGATGCCTGGTGGTACAGATGATTAGGGAAGGCCACGGTGTCCTCCACCTCAGTGGTGTTAGTTGAGTTGTTACCCTGGATCACACACAGAACCAGACTTAGAGTTGAAGTGCAGACACTAAGTCTGAATAATTTAATTTAATAAAAATTTGACAAAATTTTAAGCCTATTAAAAGAAACACACTCACCATGGTTTCAAGTAGATTCAGAGTCTCTTCGTTGTGCTGTTTGAATTTATGATCCATCCATTTGCAGCTCAGCGAGGAGCCTGCAGTGAACAGACCAAGAAACAGGCAAGCAAAGAGAATCCTGCTGATCATTTTTTAAGGATGACAATTGTCGTTGTATGAAGCAGACTCAGATATCTCCTGTGCTGATGGAGCTGACATGCCCAGCAGCACTTATAGCAGAGCACACCTGTTTCATTTTCCATATTCACCTCTGTGGCTTTCACCTCAACAAAGGTGGGTTCTGATGTCACACATTTCAGACTTGGTTTCTATGGGAGCAAAAAAATCCCACATTAATTTTTTTGTCCGGTTCAGCTGTTGTATAAAGCAGAATAATGGTCTGCTTTGTTGTGACACATATATTTGCTTTCTAAAGAGGAGCACTTGACCAGGTCATTTTCAAGTGTCTTTCATGACAAAAGTGCATACACAGACACTCACACTCACAGACACACACTGGTTTTCATATTTTAGTGAGGACACCTAATTGTGACATAATGCTTTCCCCAGCTGCTTACCCTAACCCTAACAAACAAAAATGAATGCTTAACTGCAACCCTTAGCCTAAACTTAGCCATAACCTAATTGCAACCCTGACACTAAAACCACATTTTAAACCTCAAAAATGCCTTCAAACTGGTGGGGACGGGCACTTTGTCCCTACAAGTGACTGTTGGTCCCCACAAGTAGCAGCATGCTAATTTTCTGTCCTTACAAAGATATCTGAACGTACAAGAACACACACTGCAAAGTCGTATATTTGTTTGTGATCCAGCATGTCTGTTTGCTTTATCGTCGACTTTTCCTCCTACCCCCTTCTTTTCTCTCTTTTTCTGTTGTTTTCTTCTTATATTCCTCCGTTTTCTTCTATCTTTCTCCAGTTTGGCCTTCACCCCCGTCTGCTCAAGCATAATATCCATAACAATATGGATAATGAAATACTAACAGTATAATCCACAATGTGCAAAATATCCCCATAAATGCACAAATATAGAATAGTAAAGTGTAAAAGAAAAACATTTAAAAAGTATAGAAACGTTAGTGTTATAGGTATTTTACTGTGAGTATACATATAAATGTTTTTAAAGCCTAAACATTTTACTTATATGTCCTTACTTAAATGCACGTTGCATGGATGAAATTTCCGCAATTCATGATGATTAAAAAACAAACAAACAAACAAAAAATGTTTACATTTACGCACTCTCTCCAGTGTGGTGGTTGTAAGTGTATATTAAAGCTTTTGAATGGAGTCACATTTCACAGTTACTTCTAGTTGTGATTGTGCCATAAAAGGGAAGTTCTTACACGGAGAAAAAAAAAGTGGCTTCGTGACTCTTTGGCCTACAGTGACGCTCATTCATACGAACCAGTCAGCGAAATTTCACCTTGTTTTATCGAGAATATCTGCTTCACCGTGGGAACCAGGTGAAGGGGATTGTCCTTCACGATCAGTGGGGAAATTAGAGCATATTTTCAGCCTTATATAAATCAAAAATGTGCCAATATGTGCTTTTGCTAATGCTTTTGTTATATTCTTCTTCCCTTATTTTGGTCTAACTTGTTTTACAACTTTTTGTTTTATTGCATTTGTCTGTTTTGCCAAAGGACAAGACATGTGAAACAAATTATTAGTGCATGTCTAATCACTAAAAATTCCAACGCAGCGCGGTACTGAATTATAATATGATATCCCCGATGCAACAAGTGTATTTGTAAAATGTATTTCCTCCTATTCCACAATCATCCGTAAGTGGTATTATTGTAACTTGAAATGAAGGGGAAGAGCGCGTAAAGTTACGGGGTTGCCAAATGGTCAGGCGCAAAGTGCGCACAAGTCTTCAACGCTTCGCTGTCTCAGTAACTACAGATACATAAACCTCCTCTGGCATTAACATCAGTATCAATCACATTACGACCCTCCTCATATGCTGGCACTGATACAAGTGTTTGGTGCTGAATTATCGTCACGTTAATTCACATCGTTTGAATGTGTGGTGAGAGGTGAGTCCAGAAGAAGGGGGATGAGGCGGTACTGACCCCCACTGAAATATGACTTGCCCTCCACGAATGCCATAGGGTAAATTAGTGGCATCAAGGAAAATAATCCAAAGGTGTACACGCCAGCGAACTCAATATGTGGGTATAAATGGGGAGAGTTGCTTCATGAAGGGAATATAACATGATTTGCTGCTAAATCTTTGTGCGAATCAGAACAATTTCATACTACATTGGTTACTCGGATGGAAGTAGGTGTTGAACTTGGCCCGCTTAAAGTCAGCAGCCAAAAGAAGAAGTTGAACTCAAATACTTTACTGGAGTACTGTTTTAATGTACGTGTACTTTAAGTACATTTTTATTATTTTTACTTCTTCTCCACTATAAATCATCTTACCTTACCTTATTTTACCTATTGGGGACAATATTTTGCACTATACTATTCGTGTTAAGGCTTTATTTACTGTTTACTAGTATTCAGAAATATTGATATCCAACCTAAGGAATTAAAATCTCCAGCAACAAAAGTGAACAGGTGAATGAAGCACGCATCATCAGATCGTGCTTTTGCTGTAGCAGCTCCAAAACTGTGAAACGATCTGCCTTTAGAGATTAGACAGGCCTATTCTCTGCCTGTGTTTAAATCACTTCTGAAAACCCATCTCATGGCCTTTGACACCTCGGTTTTTTGTTTTAGTTGATTCTATGATGTTTTATCTTGTTTTTTAAATATAAGGCTGTTTTCATTTTTATGTATTATGTGTTTTATTTTCTCTGTTTTGTTTTATTGTATTGTTCTTAACTGAATTACTGCACAGCACTTTGGTCCTGTGCTGGGGATTTTAAAGTGCTTTGTTGCAAAAAGTTGGATTGAATTTTAAACTATTACTAAGGTATGATTATGCTGTTTTGTTAAGGAAAAGGTCTAACTGTTTCTTTTGTCACATTTTTCAGTTTAAGAATGTGTTTATGTACGTGACCATGCAGATAGACAGTAAGATAGTTAGATAGACAGATCAAGCACTCTTGCGCCCCCTGCTGAAAAGGAAGAACGGGCCTCACACAGTATTATACCGCATTAAAATGATTGATCGTGTTTATTGTTTGTTGCTTAATTTGAAATCAAGTCTAAATTTCACTTATTTCTCATGCTATACTGTACTTTGTGTCTGTGAGGTATAACTGTACTTAATACATAAACTGACTCAAATTAAAATAGATAACTACATTCTTCCTCAATTTTAATTTTAGAAATAATAATAACAGCAATAAATACCTTTCTGATTCCAAGAGGAGGTGATCCTTTTATGCTATAAAATAATGCAAAAATATCTAATTTTGCTCAATGAACATTTTAAAGAATACAGAACAGACATAACATTTCATTTTCATTTAGATTTATATAAGATATATATATATAATTATTATTATTATTTTAAAAATAATATATATGTATGTATCTCTGGTATTTCACAATTATATAGTTACTTAATTTATTTCATTTCCACGGATATTTGTCATGGTTTTGTTTCCCCAGTCGTTCTTTCCATGTAGGCACAGTGTTTTCGGCCTGTTTTTTTTTTTTCTGTTGTTCAAATTACCTAATTGCGCCTGTTTGAATAATAACCCTTTATGCAATACGTAAAACTGCAGATCTGCTTGTTCAGTATCCAGTGTGCCGTAAAAGGGAAGAAACTGTGTCGAGAAAGTGAAAGCGTCCTGGTGACTGGGCGCCTGAGCTGTGACGCTCATTCTTACGAATCGGTCAGTGATATTTCGCCTTGTTTTATCAGCGTGTGAACCAGATAACCTGGAGAAGGGGATTGTCCTTCACATTTTTATTAGGAAGATTAGAGTGGACTTTCATCCTAGTAGAAAAACGAAAGTCATGCAATATTATATTCAGCCTAAGACTGATAAGAGAGGGTGTCTTCGCTTAGACTTTTATTGTTCCTCTGCCAAAAATAATATTTAAATAAATAAAAAAAATAAATCTTATAGGCAATGATGGGTGATCATGGCTTGGTGTTTGCAACCTACTTGTATTAGCAGCTAAAATCCCAATAGTCATTATTACCATTTATAGTTTTCAATATCAAATATCAAACATTTCAAATTGCCGCATCGGTCGTGAGCTGTGTCTGTTTTCACTTGCTCCGTGTTATGGCCGGTGTTTGTAGGCTGCTGTTTTACCAGGAGCCCTTTTATTTTATTATATAACTTCTTCCTACTTGAGCCGATATTCTTACTTTTTGTACCCCAGTGATTGTTTCACACGATTTGGGATCTAATTAAATATGTTCGACTCTACCTGAATGCTGCGGTGAAAGCCACAGTTTACGTTCAGGTCCCGCAGGTAGAAAACGAAATATGTTGCTCTACCATAAATGCGGCGTTACAGGTCTGCTCCATCAGAACACCAGGAGACATCCGAGTTTGCTTCATAGAAGAGCAGTTAATACGTTTTGAAAATGATGATGAGCAGGATTCTCTTTGCTTGCCTGTTTCTCGGTCTGGTCACTGCAGGCTCCTCGCTGAGCTGCAAATGGATGGATCAAAAAATTCAGACAGCACAACGAAGAAACTCTGAATCTACTTGATACCATGGTGAGTGCGCTCTTTTTAAGAAAACTGTAACAACATTTAGTGGTTTGAACTTGATGTTTGATTATTTTAACACACAAGCTGTGTGTTTCTGGTTGTTATACAGGTTTATAACTCCACCAACACCACTGAAGATGCTGAAGGGGAGGTCACTCTGGCTTTCCCTAATCATCTGTACCGCCAAGCGTCCAAAGCATCAGTAAGTTAATCTTAGCGTTTATTTATAAACTAATTATCTCTTAGTTCACAATGAGAGCACAGAACAATATCTCCTTATACATAAAACAGTCCAAATGGGCCACATGGCGCATATTTCTATGTGTTTTTCTTTAAACGTTAGCCCATAGTATCAATAATCTACAATGTTATGTAAATATTATATTGGTAATTTATGTGAGCCAAACAATATATTTCTGGCTACTGAATGTCTCTCTAATAGAGGAGGGAATTATGGTAATCTGTTCTTCTTCTTCCAGGCTGAGGATAAA